TACTGGAATTCCTAGATAACACGGTAAGACAATAAATGAAAATAAAAGGTATATAGATTTGGAAAGAAGAAATAAAAGTCTCTTTGCACATGATATGATTGTCTATGTAGTAAATCCAAAAGAATAGACAAAAAGAAGTCCTGTACTTAATAATAGATTATAGCAAGGTTGCAGGATACAAGGTTAACATGCAAAAATAAATAGATTTCTGATATACCAGTACCAAACAAATAGAATTTGAAATGAAAACACATTAGAATTTACACTGGCAAACCTCAAAGTGAATTAGTTAAGCATAAATCTAAAAAAAAAGTATAAGATCTAAATGAGGAAAACTACCAAACTCTGATAAAAATAAATCAAAAAAGAACTGAATAAACTTGAAGATATTCCATGTTCACTGATAAAAAGACTCAATATTGTCAAGATGTCAGCTCTTCCCAACTTGATATATAGATTCAACACAATCCCAATAAAATGCCAGCACGTTATTTTGTGAAATCAACAAACTGATTCTAAAATGTATATGGAAAGGCAAAAGACCCAGAATAGCCAACCCAATATGGAAGCGAACCAAACATCTGACCCTTTGACCCTTGGATTTTTAGAGCAGTGAAACTACTCTACATGATACTACAATGGTGGATACAGGTCATTATACATTTCTCCAAACCCACAGAATGTATAACAGCAAGAGTAAACCCTAATGTAAACTAAGGACTTTGGGTGATAATGACGTGTCAGTGTAGGTTCATCAATTGTAACAAATAGATCTCATGGTATGGGATGTTGATAGTGGGGGAGGTTGTGTGTTTAGGGGCTGTGTGGAGGAGATATATGGGAACTCTCTGTACTTTCCACTCAATTTTCTGTGAACTTAAAACTGCTCTAAAAAATCAAGTCAATTTTTTTACAATATAAATAATTCTGGGAAAAAGTTAGAAATAAGGACATCAATTCTAAAATGTAGAGCATGTAAGAAAGTCTTAATCTTTATTAAGATTAATCATTATTCTATGGATAATGGTCTATTTATTTTTAGAAGTATAATTAAAATGAATGTTTCTATATAAGATAAAAAATTTTCTAGCTCCAGCAGAATTACTTAGTTACAGTAGTAGTAATAAATGCAACAAAAACAGAACAACTAAATTATGAGGGTGAGACTGTTATAATCTGATTGGGTTATATTTAAAGTTATATTAAAAAATTTACATATATTTAAAGACCCTGCATATTTCAACAATGAGAGAGTTGCATCAGATAAAATACTACACCAATTTCTGCATGGTAGGAAGACTATAGGTTAAATATTGGGGTAATTTATTTCTAGGTTGGAAAAATAAATTGTTAGGTGAAGAAACCTTTAAAGTTGCTGGGTTAAAAAGTGGATTGCTGCTAAGTTATTCATCTTTGGTGAAATATCTAAACGGTGGCTACTTATCTCTCAAAACTACTTTTGAATACAGAAAAAAGTTGAATACTTTACCAGAATCTACACTGGATGCTAAGCAGACACAAGGATTACATGACTATTTTGGAGATAGTGAATAGTGAATTGTGAGCCTGTTACTGCAAAGACTGAACTCCTGGAATTCTGAAGTCCTGAAAGTTCATGCCCTTCCATTTTGGCTACTTAAGAGACAAAATGAAAGCTGTTAGGCATACGGCTCTCAAGAATCAGGCTGAATTACATAAAACTCTGCATGTAAAAATAATCAGACTTTCAGCAAGAAAATGAGCTATTGCTGCAAAACCAATCAGAAATAATCCTTCTTCAGAGTCTCTGGACAGGCAAGAATGTCAAAGGACCCACTGCTAATTGAGAGTGCAAGTCTACTCCTTGTGAGAAATAGATATAAGTTTAAAAAGTAAATGACTATATTACTTAAAGCTATTAATGTTCAAAAAATTAAATGTCTAAAAGGCTTTTGTGATTAAATAACAGAAATGTATAGTCTGTGCAAGGCAAAAAATTATATTTGTGACAATACAGTGAGTTCAACCTTTATTGCTAATAAACAGAGACATTATATTTTCAGCACAGGAATAAAATTGCATTTGTAGTAATAAATGTCTCTTCTCATAGTCTCAGAGTAAACCTGAGTAGTGTATTTGTCATTCTTTTTCCACTCTTTTCAAACCTACTTATTTGCTTTAAATCCTAAACTTAGGTGGCTGGGTTGAAATTTAAATTTTTTCTCAAATAAAATCTTTTCACATATACATTTTTTTGTAAATATAAATCAAAGTTTTCCAAAGGAGAAAAAAAAAATCATTGCTACTTTAAAATCCAGTCAGCATCAAAGTCCGGATCCTTCTATCCATAGAGTAATCTGTTTAGAACTTAAAGTAATAAAGACAAAAAGGGGCTTATAAAATATTAAATGATTATAATCACTAAGCAGAAAGCAATTTAAACATATTTAAGTTTAATAAAAACTATCTCATGCCTGTGATGCCAGCACTTTGGGAGGCCAAGGCAGATGGATCACCTGAGTTCAGGAGTTCAAGACCAGCCTGGACAATATGGTGAAACCTTGTCTCTACTGAAAATACAAAAATTAGCTGGGCGTGGTGGCGGGCATCTGTAATCCCAGCTACTTGGGAGGCTGAGGCAGGAGACTTGCTAGAACCTAGGAGGCGGAGCTTGTGGTGAGCCAAGATCACGTCCCTGCACTCCAGCCTGGGCAACAGAGTGAGACTCCATCTAAATAAACAAATAAATAAATGTTATCATTTTATGTGGCAATCATCTTCTTTTTAGAGTTAAAAATGTGTCATATCCATAGATCAATGGAACAGAATAAAGAACTCAGAAATAAGGTCACATGCCTACAACTATCTGATCTTCAACAAACCTGACAAAAACAAGCAATGGGAAGTTCAAGACCAGCCTGGCCGACATAGTGAAACCCCATCTCTACTAAAGATACAAAAAATTGGCCGGGCATGGTGGCATGTGCCTGTAATCCCGACTACTCGGGAGGCTGAGGCAGGAGAATCGCTTGAACCCAGGAGGTGGAGCTTGCAGTGAGCCGAGATCACACCATTGCACTCCAGCCTGGGCAACAGGGCAAGACTGTAAAAAAAAAAAAAAAAAAATGAGGAAAGGATTCCCTATAAATGGTGCTGGGAGAACTGGCTAGCCATATGCAGAAAATTGAAACTGGACCCTGCCCCACTTCCTTATACCATATACAAAAATTAACTCAAGATGGATTAAAGACTTAAATGTAAAACCCAAAACTATAAAAACCCTGGAAGACAACCTAGGCAATACCATTCAGGACATAGGCATGGGCAAAGATTTCACAATGAAGACACCAAAAGCAACTGGAACACAGCAAAAATTTACAAATGGGATCTAATTAAACTAAAGAGTGCAGTAATAGAAACTATCAACAGAGTGAGCAGAGAACTTACTGAATGGAAGAAAATTTTTGCAATCTATGCATCTGACAAAGGTCTAATACCCACCATCTATAGGGAACTTAAACAAGTTCACACACACAAAAAAAAAAAAAAAAAAAAAATTTAAAAAGTGGGCAAAGGACACAAACTAACAATTTAAAAAGAAGACATACATGTGGTCAACCTACATAAGAAAAAACGTTCAACATCACTGATCATTAGAGAAATGTAAATCAAAATCACGAGATACCATCTCACACTAGTCAGAATGGCTACTATTAAAAAGTCAAAAAATAACAGATGGTGGTGAGGTTGAGGAGAAAAAGGAACACTTATACACTGTTGGTGGGAGTGTAAATTAGTTCAACCATTGTGGAAGACAGTGTGGTGATTGCTCAAAGACCTAGGGGCAGAAATACCACTCAATCCAGCAATCTCATTACTGAGTATATACCCAAAGGAATATAAATCATTCTATTATAAAGACACTTGCACACGTGTGTTCAACACTATTCACAATAGCAAAGACAATGACTCAAACTAAATGCCCATCAATGGTATAAAGAAAATGTGGATAAAGAAAATGTGGTAAAGAAAACGTGGTACTTGTACACTGCAATAAAGAAAATATGGTACCTGTACACCATGGAATACTATGCGGCCATAGAAAAGAACGAGATCAGTCCTTTGCAGGGACGTGGATGGAGCTGGATGCCATTAGCCTTAGCAAACTAATGCAGGAACAAAACCAAATACTGCATGTTCTCACCTATAAGTGGGAGCTAATTGATAAGAATAAATTGGCACATAGAGAAGAACACACACTGGGGTTTATCAGAGGGTGGAAGGTGGGAGGAGGAAAAGGATCAGGAAAAATAACTAATGTGTACTAGGCTTAATACCTGGGTTATGAAATATCTTTATAACACATTCCCATGACACAAATTTACCTATATAACAAGCCTGCACATGTACCCCTGAACTTAAAAGTTAAATATATACAAAAAAAAATCAAACCTACTATAATCTTTCAAATGGTTTCGTTTAAAAAGCTAACTATACACCATAGTATTGAGAATTCAATAAAACTTTCTGTGAAAATAACCTGAAATATTGTCACAATTTTTCGCCTAATTTTTTTGAAAGTTGAAGTTTATCTTCTATTCCTGCCCTGAACTTATTTTAAAATGCAACATTTTGAAAATACTTTGTTCTGTAATAATACAGCATATCCAAGTGAAATTTTAATGTCACGAATATATTTAAAGCTATGGTTCCCATTGTGAAATATATGCATTTGAAATACACAAGGGGATCTGTAGATAGTCTACGAGTAAAGAAGATAACAAAAGTGCTAACAAGAACTCCTGTATTTAAATAGAGTGTATGTTTAGTCATTGAAAATAGTTTTAGGGGACAAAATATATACTATTCATTCATATAAAAATAATTTTCCAATAAACAATGACATACTATTTCCCTATGAACAGAAAGAGACAGATTTTTGAATGAGCAAACATATTTTGGAAAACATGCATTTGGATAAATCCTTATTTTGGAGTAATAAAGAAAAAATATTTACATACCTTGTTGTTTTGATAGGCAGCACATTTCCAGTCTTTGCTCATGAGAATATCCATAGAGTAGATATGCTTCTTGAAGTGCACTTTCATACCACTTCTTTTTATTCTTACATTTTTCTGGCTATATAAATACAGAAAAAAGAATAAAATTCTTTTTTAAATATATAACTTTGTTTTAAAATCCACTGATTAAGCTGGAACAAAATCTAATTTGGAGCATTGTATATTTCTTAGACTTTGGTATCTAATTATTATTTTATTATTATTTTAGAATTCAGCAAAATTGTGAAAATTTTGCAATTTAATAGTCAAAGGGTCAGATGTTTGGTTCGCTACATAACAAAGTAGTTAATATTAATAGATTTAATAAGAATAATGTTGATTTCTTTTTAAACAACATAGCAATTATACTAAAGTGGTACAAATTGAAAAGCAAGTTTCTTATTAGAAGAAAATTAATTTGGCAGGGTGCAGTGGCTCATGCCTGTTAATTCCAGCTACTTGGGAGGCTGAGGTAGGAGAACAGATTGAACCTGGGAGGCAGATGTTGCAATGATACAAGATTGTGCCATTGCACTCCAGTCTGGGTGACAGAGTAAGACACTGTCTCAAAAATAAAATAAAATAAAATAAAATAAAATAAAAAGAAATTATATTCACATCTAGTTTTAGTGTTACAGCAGATATTAACATATGCATACAAGTTTCTTAAACTTTCTGTGCCCTAGTTTCTTTATCTAGAAAATATGAATGATAACACTACATACATCATAAGATTTCATGAGTATGAAATAAAATAATAGATTATAGTTTCATGGCATAATAAGAATTCAATAAGTTATTTTACTTGGATACAGTACATTTTCTAAATACCTATTTAGTTTACAAAAAATATATTTTAAAAAGAAAAACAAAATGAAAAAAAAACTGGGTCAAAAATAAAAAATTGACCTAGTCCAATAATGTTTTCAGTGTTATTTTAAAACTCAGCAAAAAAGATTTGTATAATGTTTTTAAATGTTATATTTATAAAATGCATGCCATCATTTTCATTTTATTCAAAATACTTTACCAGCCAAAGGAATATGGCTATTTATTTTATTAACCTATAATTATCACCTATCTATAAAGATTATATTTTTCTCTCAGATGTATAATTCACCGTTTTCACAGAAATGTAAATCTATATAAGACCCATATTGAATTAATTCAGAGAATTAAACTATACATTTAAAGCTCTTCTCAAATGTCACCATACTCTTAGAGTCCCTAAATTAATATCAAGTCTGTGCTCCCACTATACATAATACTTTCATTTACTGATTTACTACTTTCTGACTTCTATTATAGTTATTTGTGTTCATGACATCACTACCCATAAAATGAAAGGTCCATGAAGATGGAGGCAATAAATAACATTTCATCTTTGCATCCTCCACAGTACCCATTTGCCTATACCTCATGGTATATTATATAAAGTATTCAGAAAGAGGCTGATAAATTGCATTTGGTCCTGGGCAAAGATTAACTTGACATAAAAGCAATGAAACAATAGGATCAAACAAAAATTTACTTTTGGACACATAATCTATAAATTTCATTTATTAAGTAAGTTATTTCATAGGAAACAGATGAAAAGAGACAGATACAATTCACCAAATACTGGAAATTTTAAATTATTTTAAGAATGTCTAAGCTAGCCTTCACAGATTTAAGACATTTCTGCAAGTCAAATGTTATAAAATTAAATTAGAAATTGTAGTGAAAAATCACTTTAAAGCTTATAGCACAAAACAGTTCCCATACTATTCTGTATATAGCAATGGTGTAAGAACAGTTCCTGTAATATTCCCTAAAGCAGGGGTCGGACCAGTACTAGTCCGTGATCGGTTAGGAACTGGGCAGCACAGAAAGAGAGGAATGGGGGACAAACAAGCATTACTTCCTGAGCTCCACCTCCTGTCAGGTCAGCTGCGGCATTAGATTCTCATAGGAACATGAACTCTATTGTAAACTGCACGTGGGAGAGATCTAGGTTGTGTGCTCCTTATAAGAATCTGATGCCTGAGGATCTGTCATTGTCTCCCATCACCTCCGGATGGGACCCTCTAGATGGAGGAAAACAAGCTCAGTGCTTTCACTGACTCTACATTATGGTGAGTTATAGAACTATTTCATTATATATTACAATGTAATAATAATAGAAATAAAGTGCACAATAAATGTAATGCACTTAAATCATCCCGAAACCATCCCCCTTCCTCCCCTAGTCTATGGAAAAATTGTCTTCCATGAAACCGGTCCCTGGTGCCAAAAAGGTTGGACACTGCTGCCCTACAGAAATAGTATAAGAAAATAGTTAAAGAAAATTCTTGAGAAAAATCAGTGCCATATAGCTAAAATAAACTTTGATGACTTAGGGGAACTGAAAGGTTTAACACTTGTGTCTGGGAATCTTTGAACTTATCAGTAGGCATGTGCCACCTAGTGGTAATACAAATTAAAACCTCCTAAGGAACTCAAAAAACTAAGGATCCATTTTACGAAGAATTTTAATTTCCAAATTAGGCTCAACTGTGCTTTGTATTTTTAAATTCCTTTTTTTTTTTATTGAAGAAGTGATAAGGTGCAAATTCTCACAGTATGGAATGTGCCTTCCTTCCCATCCCAGGTACTACTTCTCCCCAAATTACTGTTACTAGTTGCTTTTACAGTCTTCCAGAGATATATATTTATATAATTATACAATGTATATATTATAACATTATATATTTCTATAACTTATATAAATATATAATTAATGTTATGAATAGTTATATATAATTGATTTTTAAAATTTTCTTGAAGATTGCTGAATTTATTGATACAGCATATTCCAGACTCTCAGGATCTATCGTTGAAGAAAACAGACAAAGCTTACATTCTAACCCATGAGAAGAGACAATTTATAACAAGCATAAAACATAAGGCTATAGTATAAGAGGTGATAAGTGCTCTGTAATAAAATGTAAGGCAAAGTCAGGGTGGGTAATGAGTGGTCAAGGTAACTCTCATCAAAAAGGTGAATTTAGGCTATGATCTCCCTGAAGGCGGCCAGGAAGTTACCCACATATATATCCAAGGAAAATATACTCCAGGTAGAGAAAAAATCCTCTAACGTGGGAGAGTACATGTATATTCAAGAAGTATCAAAGAATCCAGGGTAGCTGAGTCTAATGTTGAAGAGAGAGAGTAACAGGAAATGATTTCAGAAAATTAACAAGGGCCACATCATCAAGGCCTTTGCAAGCCATTGTAGGGTCTTTGGCTATTACTTTGAGTGAAATAGACACTATGGCAGAGTTCTGAGCATAAAATTAATATTTGATTTGAATTCCTGTTTTTAAAGAAATCATTCTGATTGCTTTGATGAGGAAAGGCTATACAGAGGCAAGTATAGAAGCAGGACAATTAGGAGCCTATTGCAATAATTTATGCAAGAAATGACGGCAGTGTGGACCAGGGCAGTAACAGTTACTGTGATAAAAAGTGTTAGGGCTCTGGATATAATTTGATGATAGAGCAAAAAGCACTTCCTGACCACTTGAAAACTGGTTTTGGGAGAAACGGAGGATTACTCTAGGACTTTCAAACCCAGCGGGCAAAAGGATGGAATTTGTTCTCTACTGAGATGAAGCAGGCTGTCAATAAAGAAAGATTAGGAGAAAGATCAAGAGTTCGGGGCCGGGCGCGGTGGTGGCTCATGCGGGTAATCCTAGCACTTTGGGAGGCTAGGTTGGGAGTTTGAGAGTTGGGCAGGTTACCTGAGCTCAGGAGTTCGAGACCTGCTTAGGCAACATGGTGAAACCCCGCCTCTACTAAAAAAAAAAAAAGGAAAAAGAAAGAAAAAAAAAGTTAGCCGGGCATTGTGGCATGTGCCTGTAGTCCCAGCTGCTCGGAAAGCTGAGGCAGCAAAATTGCTTGAACCCGGGAGGCGGAGGTTGCAGTGAGCAGAGATGGTGCCACTGCACTCCAGCCTGGAGACAAAGCGACATTCCATCTCAAAAAAAAAAAAAAAAAAAGAATCCGCACATACTGACACGAGACTTCTCAATACCCAACAGGAAGATAATTACGACATCGAGGTGGAGATGTCAAGTAGCAGTTGGATATGAAAATTCAGGACAGAAAACTTACCTGCAGATAAACTTTAGGAATTACAAACACATACACATACACAAATGCGCGTGTGCACGCATTTGACAATGCTCAAGTGATGGACACTTAGGTTGTTCCTAATACGCTATTGGAAGCAAGGCTGAAACAAAAACATTTTGTCCATATGTCATTTTGTCCATTTGAGAGTATACTGAAAGATAAGTTCCAAGACATAAAATTACAGGTTTAATGTATGTACATTTTAAATTTTGGAGGCTACTGTGAAATCACTTTTGAATAAGGAGGTCAAAGTTTACAGTGCTACAAGAAATATATTCAATATATTTCCCCACACCTTGCAGAACACTTCTGTTCCAAGCTTGGACATCTTGACCAATCTTTTCTTTTATTAATTTTTAATTTTTGTAGGTACATAGTAGGTGTATATACTTATGGGTTACATAAGATATTTTGATACAGGCATGTAATGTGTAATAATCAGATCAGGATAAATGTGATAGCTAACACCTCTAGCATTTATCTTTTGTGTTACAAACAATCCAGTTATACTCTTTAGTAATTTTTAAATGTACAATCAAATATTTTTAACTATTGTCACCCTTTTGTGCTAGAAGATACTGGGTCTTGTTCATTCTTTCTATTTTTTGTACTCATTAACCATCTCCACACCCCGCTGACACTCCACTACCCTTCCCAGCCCGTTAACCAACCTTGTACTCTTGATATCCATGAGTTCAACTCTTTTAATTTTTAGCTCCTACAAATAAGTGAGAAAATGCAAAGTTTATCTTTCTGTGCTTATTTCACTTAACGTAATGACCTCCAGTTCCATCCATGTTGTTGCAAATCATTGGATCTCATTCATTTTCATGGCTGAATAGTAATCCATGGTGTGATCCATGTTTTGTTTAACCATTCATATACTGATAGACCCTTAGGTTGCATCCAAATCTTGGCTATTGT